CTTCCCTGAAAGCCTTGTTTGGAGGATGGGTGGAAAAGAAGAGATTTATTGGGTCCTGTGCCAAGCTGGAGAATTCAGCAGTAGGACAGGAATGAGTGGCAAAGCATACACAACACAGAATGATCAAGAAACAGACAGTGAGCCTAGCAGATGAAATCCTAGCCTTCCCACACTATTGGAGACAACTGACCTGAAGTAGAGGAAGTAAACCTTGGCCTTATGTAGCAAAAGAAGGTCTGTTTGAGGAGCCCTTCCTCTGTGCACCTTACACTAGGTATCACCAGTGGAAACCAAACTCCCAGGCAAAAGATTGAGCTGGGACCCTTTGGCATACTTACATTTCTTTATTCAAGACCCTTTCCAATCAGCTTTTCCTCATGTCCCTGAGATACTTAAGAATTCTTAAAAAAAAAAAAAATTGATGAATTCTTCAAAAAATAACTGAATTTCTACAAGTTGTGTGAATCAAGATGTTTGAGGGTGGTCCTCCCAGAAAACTCTCTTGGCCTCCTCACTGTGATCACAGAAACAAAAGGCACTTACACCCTTCAATGTGGCTTGAGATTCTGCCTCTGGGCTTGCTTCCTTCCAGTGGTGCTGTGTGATGACTTGCTAAAGCAGCTCCATACCTATTCCCTAATTCCCTTCTCCCTATCAGGCTAGGGACCCTCATTGCTGCACTTAAGATAAAGTCCTGTCTCCCTAATTTGGCCTATTAAGGCTACCTTCAAATTTTCCAGGTAAACCCTGCAGATCAGCATGCCCTTGCACAACGATTCAAGTGATCTCCCTGGACACCTTTCCCAACTCCAGTCCCTTGCTGAATCCCTACTTTCTCCATGCCTCCCTGGACTCTCATCCCCCAGTATCTGGTACAGCAGAAGCATCACCCTAGAGCCCCAACCTCCCGAACAAGATGGGAAGCCTGGAGGTTTCTTTAAAGACCAGGCAAATCTATATTAACCAGGAGTGAGGCTCTGCATTCTTTCACTTACCCAGGTATCCATGTGATTCCCCTCCTTTCTCCTCTCTAGTTATCATTCATAGTAGGTTGGGCTGATTGTGTTTACTATTTCCTCAAATAAATATGCATTTGATACCTACAGCAGCCAGCTATTGAGAAAACTATGCATATTATTTCCCTGATGATTAGATAAAATTCATGTGTACAGATGAGTATGTCTTCACACACACTTACATATGAATACCTGCTTATATGAACAAGTATTTCTATGGTGATTTCCTGGAATATCACAGTTGGAAATGACTTCAGTATCTCCTGCTTCAGTGACTTCATTTCAAGATGTGACCTCCAAGATCAAGAGGCAGTGTGGGAACACAGGTAGTCAAGGACAGAAGAGAAGTCTATCAGACTATGTATACTAACATCCATCTTTCTGAGGGCTATATATAAACACACACATATGTATATACATATCCAATGCTGAATTGTCCCTAACATGCACACGGAGCCCCACCACCCTGTTTTGGCTGAGCTCAGAGAAAAATGATAGGAGGGCAAGGATGTCTGAGGAGTCCTGTCAGTGCTTCCTAGACTTGACCTGGACCATCTCCTATGGGATTTATCCTCCTATCCAGCCCTTTACCTCCACTGCCTGCAAGCCAGGTGCTATGACTCTGAGCCTCCAGAGTTGGGCTGTCTTCTCCTATAAAAGACAAGCTCCAAGGATCACCAATTATCTCCCTGCATTAAATAAGATGAGCAGAACCAGCTGCTGCTGTTCCCAACTCACAACCTAGCCAGAGAGGAATCTGTTGCAAGCCTAAAATTGGGAGCAAAGGTCAGCTGTCATTCAGGAATGAAGTCAGAAGGAAAGGCTCCCATCCAGAAGTTCAGCACCTACTCCTCCCTAGAGGTGGAGAGAGGCACAGCTGGGCAGCCTGGGGCAGCCCATGTCCTGATCCACCTGAACAGCTGCCTCTTATAGGGCATCAGCAGTGGCTTCAATACTAGTAGCAAGCTGCCAGGACCTTGGGTGGAATGACAAGCATTTTTGCAAAGGTCCCAGAATAGCAAGACAGGTTTCCCCAGGGTACTCCTCCCCCTCCCCTGCAAATGTCACCCAGACTGAGGGAATCTTTGCAAAGCAGACCCTTTCCCCCCAGATCTTGAAATGCTGGAGCTATGCAGAAGCACATACCACTCCCTGCCCTCCACCCATGCACATGTTCTTTCAGATGCTGTGCTTCCCTTCCTCCCTTTGGAGCAGTCAGCTTTCATATGGCCTCCACACTCATACCTAGTTTGCCCCAATACACTGAACCTTTGCCTTGTTTTAACCTTCCCCTGTTTCTCAGATTTCCACTTCTCTCTCCTTGGTTACTTTTACTGGATTCTCTTCCCTTTACCAAAATGTGTGCTGTGTGATTTTTTTTTTTTAAACAGTTCCTTGCAAATTGAGGCCTCCCTCTCTCCATGCTGGGCATACATCAGTACCATAAAGCCACACACGTCTTACAGAGACACCAAAATGGATACCTTCCTCATATTTCATCTTCCTCTGTTTAAAAGTGCTTCATGTCTCTCTTTTCAATTAGGCACAGACTATCCCTATAACTCACTGAAATTGACCAATCAGTCAGGATCTATTTTTTGAGAATCTTTGATATCCTCCTTCCCAGCTGAGCTTCTATGGAGAAGCCTTTCTGTCTCGATTCCTACTTTGATGTAGCTCACAAGTCAGACAGACAGCATCACGCCAATAGGATATTTGAGGAACAATACCCAGTTACATCTCTATAATATTACCTTGCATGCAACAAACAGTTATTGAAGAGAATGCCTTTGACTGAGTGGATAAATAAATTAATAAATAGCTCAATGATGTTGAGGAAATGTGCACTTGAAATCAGCATCAGCATGGGTATCCAAGGAGCACTCAGCTGAGCTCAGTGACTCTCTTCCACTAGAGCATCCTCCTCACACTCAGCAGAGCTCAGTTTCTGGAAGTCAAATGTTCCCCTTGCTACTTCCTGCTGTTCCTACACTCTCAGGGACAGTAAACTCTGGAGAGAGAACCCTGATTAATGAAAGCAAAGCCATTATTAGTTGGCAGGACCAGGCACAGGGGCAGTTTCTGTGCTCAGGAGCCTGCACTCACTGCCTCCCAGTCTGTGGACAGCCATCTCTGGCCACCTCCCTCATCCAGTCCAATGTGGCCATATGCTAACTTCTGAATCTCTCTGATTGCTTCAGACAAGATTTGTTTTCATAGGTAGATTGCAATAGAAAAGGAAGAGAGAAAGCATTTAGTAAGACCCTTCTCATTTCACATGGTGAGGAGTGAGTACGCTGCCCAGGAAGATTATACATTTCTTATAATCCACATTAATATAGCCTATGATATGTTTTAAGAAATGAAAGCACACACATGCAGATGCGTACACACAGAGACACAAATATTTTAAGTCATCTAGGAAACTGCTACATCCTATGAGGAAGGAGGCAAAAGAGAAACATCTGGCCTTTCTGCCCCTCTCTTTCTGTGTCCCTCTTTCTGTTTCCTTCTCTGTCTGTCTCTCTCTGTCTATTGTGTTTGTTCGCTTCTGTAAGTCACCTTAGGGAATCATCAAGTCCCAGTGCTCTGGGTCATAGTCCCAGTGCAACAGTGAGAGGAGGGAGGGAATGGTGGTTGAAGAGCAGTTTTGTGAATTTTATGGATTTTCAACAATTTGTTGAATTCATCATGCATTTAACTCTCCTCTCATCACAGGCGAGAACACGTCTCTCATCTGGAAAGGCCACCCCATCAAACAGGCCTATGAGTAAAGATGGCAGTGTGAACAATGAGGCCAGAGGTCTATGGCTGCAGAGTTGCAGAGTAACCCAAGAGGATGTCTGGGCATTTCCTAAATCTGCACTAATATGGGGCAAAATGGCCAAAAAAAAAAAAAAAAAAAACGAGAAAAGCACTAACTCCAGGAGTAGAAAATCTTAGAAAGTTTTCTGAAGTTGTGACCCATCTCTCTGGCTCCCTGTCATCTCACTTTTGTGTTCTCATTTTACAGACAGTGAGCTGCAAGGACTGAAAAAATTCCTCACTTCAGGCCTTCCAGAAGGCATGGGGAGGGGTGAGGAATCTGCTCCCTCCTCAGGTTTTGCCACCTGTGTGCAGCTTGAGGATCCTGAACTGAGTGCCTGGGAACCTGGAGGGTAGCCACAGTCCAGTCACCAGTCAGTCACATCTTCCAGGTGGACTTTAAGACTCCAGAAGTTACTGGAAATCTCTGGGCCTCATTGCCTTCATCTATTGAATGGGAATGACAACATCTCCCAGTAGTTATGGGGAAGGATTTGGTAGACCAGGTATATCAGGTGTTTGGCAAAGTTTCTGGCCATTCTACAAAAATGGAGGCCACTGTTACACCCAGGAAAGCAAACTGTACATCATTGGGTTTTCTCAGTGACTCATTAGTCCCCCAAGAGTACCTCTCCTGTGCCTCTGGAGCACAGGTTAAGTTCTTCAGAAAGAAGCCAAGAGATCTAAGAGGCTGGACACCAAAGGCTCATGAAAGAAATCTCCAAGGACTGCAAGGCCTCACTACCAGTGGGATCTTGGTGCAGCTTCCAGGACAGGATGGGAGCCAGAAGAAAGACTTTGTTAGGACTGATTACAATTTTTTTTTCTCTGTTTTGGTTTTGGTTTTTGTGTTTTTGTTTTTCTCCCCCACCCAGCAATGAATGTGTAGGCTCTCAGACAAGAGGGTCCCCATTTACAGCTGACAGTGGCAGCTGCAACCTCTGACTGTCCTGCAGAGTGGCAGGGAATCGAATCAAAAAGAAAGGCAAGTGGACAACCTTTCCTCCGGGAGTGTGAAACACAATACTAGCCTTTCACCAAACCCAGCAGACACCATCTCTGATTGGAGGTTGCCTTGGAACAAAGGGAAATTGGTATTTCAAAAAAAAAAAAAAAAAAATCTTCTGAAAGCCAACTCAGCAGATGGTTTTTTCCTGGGCTGCAGGAGGGTGGGGGGAAAGGTGGGGGTAAGGGGAGGATGCTGGGATAACACAACTGCCACCAGGATACAGATGACTGAGAAGTGACAAAGATAGGCAACGAGGGGCTGACCTCTCACCCCAGAATTTCACAAAGGGCAATTACACCATGTGGCGGGTATCTGGGCCCAGCGGCTGACCACCTCCAACCTGCAGCTGTTGTCCATCACTGCCATGTCAGGGCTTTGTTAACAGCAGAGGAGAGACGCCAGGCGATGAGAGGATATTGGAGGAAGCAATGGAAAAGTTTAATTAGAGACTATAGTTTGTTAGAAATGTATCGTAGCATCATTCTAAAGAAGTTCCCTGGCCCCATTAACATTTCACAACCACTTTACAGTCATTCACTAGATGATCTTCAGGATAATATGTGGAAGAAAGAGAGACATTAGTAATCCCTTACTAAAATGAGAAAAACAGATCCATTTGTTAAAGGAAGAATGGAGACTGGAACTCAGAACCCAGGACTAGGCTAGCCATCTTCCCTAAAGTCTTAGGCTGGGAAGTGCATGGAGACTTGCTTAGAGGGACTCTTTCTCTGAACCCTGTCTTTTCACTCCAAATCAGGACACATTAGAATACCCTGCAAATAAATCTGAACTGAGTCACAGTGAGCCTCTTGTCCCACAGCACAGGACCACACTACCAGCACATCGTTTTGTCCTATACTCACCCACTGCTGGAAACTGAAGAGTGTCTTCCAGCAGGAAAATGGCTGTGGGAAGGCCAGGAAAGGAGCTATGGGTCTCTGTGATGAAACTGCAATGCTCTTCTTTCCCTGTATCCTAGATGTGAGTGGCAGGAAGAACCAACCAGGCAAGCTGCAAAGCACTCAACTCTTCTCCCTTTAAAGGCATGCTAGCTAGGCAGCAAGGGGGAATCTTTCAGTGATGATGTCCTACTGCTGGAAACCAGGGGATCTAAGGGTCTGAGCCCTCAACATACCCCCATCTCCCCAACAATAATTAGCTGTAGCCTCAGGCAAGCCATTTTAAAAACTCTCAGAATCCATTCTCCCAGTCTATAAAACAGGGAGGATTAACAGTCACTTCCTTGAACCATCCAAAGTACAAACCAGAAAGAGGCTTTATAAAGGTGCTGGGTAGAAGTGATGGCTGCCTTCAATTTTTCATCCCATGTATTACCGACAACACATATCTTGTCAATTTTTTCACTGCCCTGGAATTTTCCCATGTTGTAAGACTGATTCTTCCTAACATGATCTTTCTAGAACCCATACAGCACTCATGTTGCACACATCACACACTGCTGTAGATACAGGTAGAACTCAGATTCCTCAGCTCTGCCACAGTCTCTTTAGATGGGAGGACAAAAGGCAGAGTGAGGAAAGATTTCAGATGTTTCTAAGGAGCCAGTGCTCAATGCACAGGGCTGCCCAGGCAGAAACCGACTGGACAGATAGAGAAGGTACTTTCCATGGATCTACCTGCTTTGGGCAGAGCGCTCACAACAACCTGTCTAACATCTAGGCCAGAGGAATCAAATAAATGACTGGTATATTAACAAAGCTTTGACTCCTGTCCTTGGAGAGCTTACAACATTAGTGAGAAGAAAATACTTTCACAACACTTGTTTAATTGCCCTTTCCTTTAGACAACAGAGGTCACAATGTGAATGAGAAATCAGGTTCAGAGATAACAGACAGGGTCTTGTCTATAGTGAAGTCTCTCTAGACAAAGCAAAGAAAAAGGAATTTCTGACCCAAATGGGCATCTACATGTCCACGTGCCTAGTTTCTGTACCTTCGTGCAGGCCCCAGACCCTAACCATACAACCTAACAAACATTTGTTTCACATTTCTCCTTTGAACTCTGCAGAAAGAGTTGATAATAAGACCATCAAAAGCAGCATAAGGCAATATTAATTTGGAGGGTTTCCTTGACCTTGATTTCAGTTTCTATCAACAATTATAAAGTCACCAGAAAGCTGGCATAGCTCACGGTCATGTTAACCAAGGTACTACCCCAAAAGAAGAGGTTATAATCCCCTGGCACCCTGTAGGCCAGATTACTTCCTGGCATTGTACTCTGCTCTGTGAGCTCTCCCTATCTATTATTCCTCATACACCAATCAGTGATTTGGCATCCTGAATCCAAAGAACACTTTCAGGAAGTGAAAAAAAATTAAGCTTTAAAGGAGACAATTTCAGTTCAATGTTAAGAAACAACTTTCTAAAACAAAAGCTGCCTCTAGAGATGGCAAGCCCCCTCTGAGGGCCTCCAATAAGCATGAAATAACTGCATTAGGAGTTTTAGAGGGTGGGTTTTGTTCTTTTAGGGGGGACACTGCAGTAGCAATACTCAGAGGCTCTTCTCAATTTCAGAGACTTCCATGATTCCAGAAGTGCAACCTAAATGTGGACCCATGTTGTCCAGGCCACTCCACCAGCCCTATTTTTGTGAGGGGTTTTTTGAGATAGGGGCTCTCCAACTATTTGCCCAGGCTGGCTTTGAACCGCAATTCTCCTGATCTCTGCCTTCTGAGTAGCTAGGATTATAGCTGTGAGCCATCTTGCCCCCACCTTCCAAAGAGGGCAGGGGTGGCGAAATCCTGGAGAGTCCCATTGTACATTCAAATAGCTCCCTTCAAATATCTGCACCCCTGATCTCACAGGAGATCAGTTGGGTCCCCAGGAAATCAGTTTGTTGTGAAAAGTGCTGAAATTCCTTAGCTGGGTTTCATTCACAACACTAAACAAAGGAAACAACTGGCCTGGCATAAAAGGCTGCCACACTCCTAGGTGAATTTATATTTGTAAATGCCTTATTAGCATTTACAAATATATGCCTGCCTTAAAGGACAAATCACAATCTACCTCCTTTCCAGAATGTTCTACCCACCCTCATCTTCTAACCCTCATAGTGAAACTGACCAGAAGTATAGGAGGCAAAGACTATCTGTGAAAAAAATAAACAAGGTCTAGAAAACACACTGAAGTAACCTGCAATGGATACTAATGATGATTATCAAATGGCCTCACAAGGTGGGAACTGCTTGGACTGTTCAGAGTGAAGAAAGGCCTGCATTGTTTCCCTGGTTGAGGTCACAGACCAATGGGGAGGTAAGGGAAGTTGACTCTGGGAAGAAGGGAGCGGCAGGCGGGGGGAGGGGGTGACCAACAGCCTGTACTCAGAGAGAAATGGTCTTCATAAGCCATTTATGAACGTGTCCACTGAACGTGACAGAACGTGGGAAAGAGTCCTAGAAATGACGCTGCACACACCTCCTGCCATTCAGGGCTCTGGATGTCCCTGTTCTGACACACTGCGATGGTGGCCTCTCCTACACACCTTCAGCAACAGGGGTTCACTGCTTCTCCAACCAACATTTATGAACACTCAGTATCAAACAGAGTGGCTGAGAGTCCATTCTGTGTAGGTGTCTGCATGCTGTGTCTGTCTGTCCATACACATCCTGGAGATCTGACTCTGTTAACTGTTGCCCTCTCCTCTGGCCACTGATTCCTCCTTGGGGGAAGTTCCCAGAGCCTTATTACCACCCTCCTAGTCACTCTAAGGCAATACAAGTTAAAAACAATCCTCCAAGCAGTTGGCCCTGTGCAAATTATAAGACAAATTTTTAGTTTATTGTGAGTAAACAAACCCCCCTAAAATGCATGGTTTCAATGCCTCCCAGCAGGGGCTCTGAGTGCCACATCACTTTCTCCCCACCTGGCAAGCAAGACAGGTGTAGGATGCCCTGATATGTGCTACATGTTAATCTTTAAAGGTGGGGTGTTTTTTATTTAAATTTGCAACAATTAGAAGAGCCAAAGGATGAAAGGAGGGCAAAAATGGATAGTTTCTTTTGCCTTTTATTAAAAATTTAAAATAAGGACATGCAACTGAAAGTCAACTGGAAATGGAACAATGGCAGGGCTTTCTGAATGTGAAATTGAGTGATGGAGAAGGAGGACCTATTCTGCAAAGGCCAGCAGTGTGGCAGCCAGCTGCCAGCATAGTCCTACTTGGTGGTTCCTTTCACACCACTTTAGAACTTTCATTTTGAGTCGTCCTTTGTGCTCAGCAGTAATCCTAGTTTGGGAGACAAATGAACACAGAGATTAAAAAAAAAAAACCTATGAGCCATCTCTAAACCCCCATAGCAATCCCCCACCACCACCATCACCAACAAAAACAAGCATTAGTAATGCACTCTATCAACAGATACTGATGCATGTGACAGCAATAAGATGTTAGAGCTTCCCCAGCTAAGGCTTGCAGTACAACCCAAGCTCTGTGACTGCGCTTTGTCCCCAACCAAGAAAGTTCCCCTGTGCAGTCAGAGAGAAATGGCAAACAGGAATCTGACTGAGGGACTGCGCTAAATGCCCAAAAGGCACTTTCATCTTCACAAATGACATCAACAAGGAAGTGCTGCTCTTATCCCTGATTTTCATGCAGTCAAGAAAGAGCTGTGAAGATTGAGTGTATGCCCAGGGCTCTATTGCAGACTCTCACAGACCTGGGCAGAGAGTCCATCCTGGAATCTGGGTCCCGAGTTCCAAATGTCTCTCAGAGCAGACATTTCCTAATAGAACCCATGTTTCTCTCCTGCAATTTCATGCAGGGAGGTATGCTGTCCACACCTACAGAATGAATGGCACGTGGTTTCTCTCCAGGTCACTGTAGGATTGACTCTCAAGGACATAGACTTTGCCAAAGAATAACCTCCAAGGGGAAACTGATAGACAAGAGAATCCCAAGCCCAAGAGGAAACAGCCAACTCCATATTTTAAACCTCCAGAGAATTCCAAATACAGGAAGACAAGAAGAAAAATGTAAAAGGGGTGTGGGGAGAGGATAACCAAAAAACACCTCATGGAACACAAGTTTGATAAATCTCACCACTTTGAAAACTCAGCTCTGACATTTGCTTCTTTGGTTTTAGGCTCTTTGATATTTGGTGTAGAAAGGAAACAATGTCAGGAGGTAACAATGGGTCCAAAAAGAGGCCAAGCATCTAGGTTTATAATAACTGGTGTTCTTAAAGAGAAAAACCTGCCCTGCTGAAGAGAGTAAGTACTAAAGTTTACAGTTTTTGAAAACAGAGATAAGGCTTTTCTGGTCTTAAATATGTAGAAATGGAGACAGAGACTAAGGGATGGTAGTAAAGAATCCTTAATGGATTCTTTTGTTTTTCAGTACCAAAGATTGAGTTACACCCCCAATCCTTTTTCTTTTAGTTTGTTTTTCAGACAGAGTCCAGCTTTTTCCCAGACCAGCCTCAGCCTACCATCTTCCTACCTCTAACCTGTAACTGTGATTACTAGCAGACAGTACCATGCCTGGCCTGGAATTGTTAACCACAGAGGCAGAGCTGATGCCCAAGACTGCCAAGTCCAGCTCCAACAGTCTTCCTCTCATTCCTTCAGCAAGACCATTAAATGTACCCCATTACCCTTGGGAGATGAGTACTTCATGGAAAAGGTCATACACCACTTCCCCCATGCTGCTTTAGCTGTAACCAGACAAAAACCATTCAGGAAACAAAATTTCCAGGCACTCTTAAGAATAAATAAAAATGTGCTGCTTAAAGAGAAGAAAACTTAAACCTCTGCAGGAAAAACATTTAAATAGAAAGGAAAATTCAACCTGTTGTGAAGAAAGGCTGGTGAGACCTGCCCTCCTGTCCAGATGTGGGTATCAAGGAGGAAGAAGCTCAGACTCCCAGGAGTAGGAAATATAATGTTCCCATTCTCAGAACAGAGACCAAACACTTGACCAAGCATACACTAGGAAAGGACCAAAGAAGGTGCTGGCCAAAATGAAGGGAAGGGAAGGGAAAGGCCTTGAGCACAAGAAGAGAGAAGGCTCTCTTACGGATGCCCAGGGTCACCCACCAGAGTTGGGAAGGGACACGCTAGATGTAAGGAACAGAGGCCAGGTAATCTGAGACCTTGGCAAAGCAACTCCCACCACCCCTTTCCCAACAGCCCCTCTGCCATCCCCCTCTTCATCGATCTAGTATACTAAATTGCCACAACTGTAAAGGGTCAAGAAAGAAATGTGCCACTCGACACCTTTTAGGAAAAATGGATACCCCTAGAACAGTCTGTCCTCGCTGACTGACTGCATTTTCTAAAGGTCCCTCTCACTTCTGCACCACACACCAGGAGACCCCAAGCCCCCAATCATCCCCTCTCCTTGGTTCAAAGCCTACTGGACAGTCTAATTACTTACCAAATTAAAACTGAACCATTCACTTGCCATTCATTATTCTCTGGAATCTGATGCCAACCTCACCTCCCACCTACAGCACCTATAAACCTTTTTGCTATCCTGACTTTATGTGTTTAAAACAACAAAGGTGCTATGTGAGGACTGAGTAATGAAAGGCAGGACTTCTCAGGCTTCCCAAGAGAGGACTGCACTCAGAACAGACACACAATGATGGCCAAGTGGGGTGGCCAAGGGTGAATCTTGAGCCTAATTCTTCGAGATGACAGGTACCGTACTTCTGGAGGAAATAATCTCTCCTAATAGAGCTGGCAAAGAGGAAAATTAAGTCCAAGTAAGTGAAATAGAAGTTATATTTTCATCAAAAGCAAATACAATTTATATACACAATAAACGGGAAAAAAAAGTCAAACTTTACAGGGCTTTAAAGCCCCTCAAACATTCGGAATTAAAGAAAATGCATTGGATTATGACCCTGCCACTCTAGCTAATGTGGAAAGTGGTCCTTCCCTTCCTGCAGTCCAGGACTTCATAGAACATAGTGACTTAGGGACCACAATACAGTGTTGGCTTTGGAGTGTAACAGAATTGGCTTCAAAGGCAAACCTTGCCCACTCCAGTGTTTGCTCTTTCAAAGCAACCTGGGCCTCAATTTCTCCATCTGCCAATAAATACTAGCTGCCCAGCAGGACCGTTATAAGGGTTGATAGAGAAGGTGAACGCGTATCAAACAGCTAACAGAGGGCTTGCTATATAGCTCAATATATCAGAACTATTATGACAATACATGCTCATGTCAGATTAAATTAGCCATTATTTCCTAATCCTCCACGGAGTAACATAACACGGAAATTACCTCTATTTGGCAGATGAGGACACGGGGCTTTCAGCAAGGTTATACTGCAGATCCAAATTCACAAAGTAATGGTGTCAGAGTGAGTCTGTCTAGGATTCTCCTCCTATTCTCTTGCTGTCAAACTTAGGCAGGTGTCTCTGACTCCAAGAACTGCTAAACCCTGCCCAGCTGAGAGCATTTTCACAACCTTGTCACTACTGGAACTTTTTATGTTTATGTTTTATACCTGAACTTGCTCCTAGAGACTCACCTTCATGTTCTTAGTTGTTTTTAATTGACTGACTTAGAAGAAAACCAGAGTGAGCAACAGTAAGGGTGCTGTGACACAAGCATAGTCTACATGCAAAGCCAGTCCCTGAAGACCTAGCTTTCCCCTCCGCCTCTACTTCCCACCAAAGGCTGCTTTCACATCTTATGCAAACCTATTTATCACAAACCTTCCCCCAAAGAGTATCTCAATCTCCATCCTAATTTCCTACTGAAGGAAGACTTATACCCTGGTTAGAAAAGTCCATGCAGCCTCGAGTCAGTGAGGCAGTATTTCCATGGGTCTCTTCTCATATCCTACCGTTTAAGTGACTATGTTTCTTAACCATCCACAATGTCTCTCCAGTTTGGAAGGTTATTCCTAGGTTTGAAATTTAGAACAAAGCCTGAGAAGATGCCAGACATACACCCTTGAAGACCATTTATAACTGTGGCTAACCCTACAAAGAACCAGCTTGTGAGGTATAAGTCACACTAACATTTTCCTATGGAGCTTTCTTTTCACAAAAATAAATGGAAAAGAAATCCATGTGGGAGCCAAGCGCCAGTGGCTCATGCCTGTAATCCTAGCTACTCAGGAAGCAGAGATCAGGAGGATCGCGGTTCTGGGCAAATAGTTCGAGAGACCCTATCTCAAAAAAACCTTCACAAAAATAGGGTTGCTGGCATGACTCAAGGTGAAGCCCTGCGTTCAAGACCCAGTACAGGAAAAAAAAAGAAAAAAAGAAATTCATGTGGGATCCAATATAAGCAATCTTTGCCTGAAGCTGTCAAACGATCATTTGAACAAAATTACTTGGTTCACTTTTTTTTTAACAAAAGGTGGGGAGGTACCTAATGTAACAACCAATTTCCCTGTGCCTTCAAACTTGGAGGTTGAATAATTAAAAACAAACCAAAATAAAATAAAACCCTTGTTATCCTGAAACTCTATATCTTCCCCTAAGTCAAAGGTTGATGAACATTTTTTATAACAGCCAGATAGCAAATGGTTTAAGCTCTTCAGCTCACAGTGTCTCAGTGACAGCTACTTAACTCTGTCATTGTATACAAAAGTAGTAATAGACAAAAATGTAAACAGATCAACTTGGCTTTGTTCCAATAAAAGTTTATTTATAGACACTGAAATCTGAATTTCATATTTGCATAACCTACTTCAAAATATTCTTCTGATTTTCTTTTTAATCTTGTAAAAGTGTAAAAATTATTCTTTGAATGTGGGCTGTACAAAAACCAGGAAGGGGGTGGGATTTGGTATATGGGTTGTGGTTGGCCAACCCCTGCTTAAAGTCAGCACAAACCTTCTCCAAGCAGGAATCTCTACCAACTCAAGGGCCAGCTCACTATGGAACTTGCAGGGAACTTGCTTCCCAGGAGCCACTCTGTGCACTTCTTCTAAAGGGAGCTCACTTCATAAAAAAAGACCCAGAAGACCTGATTTGAGTGTTAGATGCTAATCTGTTACTTACAAAATGCCATTTTCATACCTTTTCCTAGCTATACTACTGATCATGTACTTCCCATTCGCACAAAGGAAATTCTGCAAATTCATGCCACTTTTCCACAAGAATGGTAGGTAAAGTTTCCACCTCACGAATTCAGCTTCAGCTATTGCTTACTCTTTGGTTGCAAAAACAACACAAATTTGAAGGGTAATAAAGTTAACATTCTAATCTAATACAGATCAGAGAATATTCTTGCCATCTCTCAAGAAATTACAACTCCAATCTGATAACCTTTTTCATTTATTTCTGGAAAGTAATAGTGCTAGGTATGAGTAAGTATAGGAAAGAAAGAGACACACATTGTGAAGTAACTCCTAACAATCGAGAAGTTTGTAGGATATTCCCATTACAGTGTCATCATAAAACAGCACTAGGTATTAAAATCCAGCACTTCTCCTTCTTTTCCACTCTCTCCAATTGCTGAGGCATAAAAATGTTTGGCAAATCACATATTCAAATGAGCAATTTCTTCCCTTCTTTCCAATAAAGCCTTCAAAGGACACTTCGCTTTTTGGGTGAGAATAACCAGTCTGAGAATGTTGGACATGTGAACAGAAGTTCACTGTACATTTCAGTTTTGAAATCATCCTTGTCACAATTCCAGAGCATTATTCTGGGCCATTCCAATGGGCAGAAAGCTGTATTTGGGAACAATTTGTGGCTTTAGGAAAAGTGGTACCTGGTCTGGACAACATATTGTTTTTAAAGGGTAGTGAATTTGAGCTTGCACACCCTAAACTATGGGTTGTTGCTCAAATCCTGGCAGTGATCAGGATGAAAGGAAAACAGTTACCACCAGTAACAGTTTTCATGATTGCCCACCCACACAAAAAATCCAACAACACACAAAGAACTGGCCATCTCAGTAGCCAGAGACAGAAATATTCATTTTCAAAGCTGAAGAGATCCAACTCCAAAGCAACACCTCACTTTCTCAGTAGAACCTGGCACATTGTCTTGCAACAATCACGAAAGTTTCTGCAAGTGTCAAGATAGCCTCTAATTGTATGACTCAGAAATCACGGCAAAGTTACAATGGGGGAGCAGGGAAAGCATCATTTCTATGTTCCGGCAAAACAAGCCAATTTCTAAAAATTCTTTTGTACTTCAAAATGCTAAAGTAGGGTGCCCAACTCTCCTGACTTTATAGGAAATGAGATAGTTCCTGGATGTAGGATTTTCAGTTTTAAACCAGGACAGGCTTATCAGACAACTGTGAGAAGTTAGTCACTCTAGAAAGTCTCTTCTAGTTCACATATATGGATTTTAAATGTAACAAACCAAAAATACTTGGCACATAGAACAACCCTGTACTAAAGAATTAACATAATTCTTAGTGGTTTAATTGAAAATGATTACCCCAAAAGATCACCAGTAACAGTGCAGATTACCTTTAGGCTTTAAGGTGAGAGGTTCCTTCATCTGTGCCATTTTTAGCTAATCCACCAAGGCTAGAGCCCACATAAATAACCAAATGACAGGAAGAAAGACAAAGACCCAGAGTAGCACCTGCCCCAAACCTCTGGTCAAGAAAAAGGCAAATTTCAGAGTCACTCCTATGACCCAAAGATTCCTGAAAACAAAAACTTTCCACATTAAAGCAGTCTTCTGCAGTAATAGCTGAGCTCCACACCCATCCCAAGAAGGAAGGTCACTGTAATTTCCCCCAAACAAATCTAATGAAACATGGTCCCATTTATTTCCAACCAACTGACACCACCAACCACCTTCAGTGGCTGTGCACACCAGTGTGACTTTTAGGAGGAAAATTGCAAACAACCAAGTTCATGCAATGTGCAGCTTTAAAATTCCATGATGTATCAGACACAGACTTAGGTCAATCACCAGCCTCTTTGCCTTCTCCAGGTCCCCTCTTCCAACGTCCTTCTAGTGCTCTTTCACTGCTTTCAGGATGATGATCACTCAGCCCTGCAAGAGCCTTTACTACAAAGACTGGGCTTCCTCAGTCAGGTGAGTGATTCATCTCAGAAAGACTTACAGTACCAATGACTGAAACCAAAAGAAAGTATAAACAGTTCTTGACTGCTCTGATTGACCAGCTATTGACTACAAGAACAGATGCAAATGTTAAATCAAGGGAATAAAAAAACTCTCAAATTTTTGTTAGGGCTCAGCTGACCCAGCAAACTGACTGTTGTACAATGAATAGAAATGCTTCAGAATTAATTCTAGTAGCTTTCTTCCAGATAAAAATAAGTATGATATTATAGTAAGATTGTATCAGAGGCATTTCTTTTGGTGACCCTACAAGGAGATTTGGCAATTCAGAAGTAAATAAGTAAGATGCAAGTAGAGTCAAAATTTGGGAGTATGACACCAAAATCAGAGAAACAAATTTTTTTTAAAGAACTATAAGACAGGCCTCCTACCTTCTTTTTGGAGTGACTTCTTTCTTCCTCCTTTGTAGCTTTGCTATTTTTCCCAGCACGGGACACCTTTTGGTCCCCAGACTGCTTGATGGTGATCTTGATCTCAGGTGGGCATATGTAGTTCTCCAGATTCTTTGGGGGTTTCTTAGCTCGCTTTGTGGTCTGAATCTTCAGCTTCAGACTCCCCTCAGTGAAGTTCGCCTCCTTAATGGAAAACTCCTGCTCTTCCAAACCATCTCCTGCCACCCATTTCTCACTGTCTGCATTGGAGTTGGAATCCACATCCCGCCCTGAGCCCAGTTCATCCTCCTCCTCTGGCTCCATGCGTTCTCCGCCCACTGGGATGCCCTTCCCAGGTCCTGAAGCAGAGAGCAAGGCTTCTCCTGCACAGCCAGAGGCAGCTGGGGGCTTGGCTGAGGAGACCGGCAGGAATTCCGACTCGCCCCCTCTTTGCCGGGAGCTGCTTAAGATTTCCCTGGACTCCATGACAATCCTATAGTCCTCAGGAGTTCTCAGGAGGGGCAAAGGGGAAAGGTCAGGAGAGAACACCCAAAATTCCAAGAAAAAAGTAGTCCGGCTGCTGGGCTCAGAGTCCCATGGATGGAGACACGGCGAGGTGTTCAGAAGAGATCAGATCTGCAACTGAGAAGCACAGAGATAATTAGCTACGGCAGGAAGGAACATGACCCCCAAAAGATACTCAACGTAAGTTCCAAAAACCTCTTCCCACTTATCTATGGCATCAGAAAAAAAATGACGGAAAGAAATTCAACAGAATGTACACGTCCAAATTAGATTACACTGAAACAGAGTGGGGAACATACACACATGGTCATAATGGGTTCTTATTTTATGGCTTCGGGCCCAAGAATAAAGATAAGAGGGGTGAGTTCTCCAGTCAGTAACAAGTTAGAGGTTTCTTACACTGAAGCCACAGCTGGCTGAGTCACCAGCAAAACCAACCATGACGAAAGGGAAGTCTGAAGTGTTGATGTTCAGGTCTGTGGGAACTGCATCTGGGCGGCTTTTTGCACCATTTCCCTCTCCCATGTGAAGAACAGTTTGCAAAGCTGAACGCAAGCCTCAGCTGCCTGGGCCAAGCTTCCTCCCCCTAAGAACAAGTACATTTAGTCAACCCTTAGCTCTTCTTTATCATTTTCCATTACACACTATTTCAATTGCATAAAGTCTTCTCTTTGTTTCTTAAAACAAATGCACAACTTAGGTATGAGGCTTGAAAAAGGAAAACAAAAAGATCTCAATGGGAAATCACTTTGAACACTGTGATTAATGCAGAGCAAACTCGAAAATGTTTCCATCTACACAATTATTTTCAAATATTTCGATAAAAATAGCCACTCTAGGCAATTTTAATTCTTATTCTTATTCCTTATACTATGTCTACAGAACAGCAAAAGGGAGAAGCAGCATTTCATGAATTCTTGGAAGTGTCAGGAATCATGCCACAATCATCTTCTCTGTTGTCTTCCACGATGACAAGAGAAAAATCAGGCTCTCTTCAGACTATCACAGGCTCAGCTAAACTATCCTTCCCTCTTATTTAGCCCATGTCCCATTATTCTCAACTTCAAATTCATAATTACAAAGGCCACAGGAAGCCCAAATACCTATTCTTCAAAGAAAACTTAAGAGTCCTTAGGCTGCACAAAACCTCAAGACATCATCCTTCAGGCCAGCTCACTCTTAAGCTTTCTTAGCCTCCTGAGCACTATCCCAGGTTTCCAACAGAAGACATTACTGTACAACTTCAGTTTCTACCTGTAAGCCCATCAATTGAAAGAACTGCCAGCAAATATGCTCACCAGCATCAATACCTACAAAGACATATTTAGAGCAGCCAAGAACTGGAACCCTGAAGCCTGAGCACAAATCATCTCCCTCCAGAAGTAGCACATTTTTAGTAATTAATTTGATATAGATGACAAAATTCCAAAATCTAAAACACAAGTGGTAAGAGGTCCATGAGAAATGAAAATTCAATTCAACAACCTTTTTTGGTTCTCTTCCAGTAAAGATCACAGGATCCAATGAAAACACCATCTCTTTCTTCAAGGAGAGATTTGAACAACAACTCTAAGCAGAGCAGAATGTTACAAATAGTATAGTAAAGTAAAAGGAATAGAATGTGTTTTCCATTTGGGCAAAGCATAGGCTATTAGGAAACTACTCAGGAATGCTGCAAGGAGAGCATAAAATCTGGTTTGGATCTTAGGGTTTTTGTAGGTAGAGTGGAAAACAGGAACATGTGGCAGCAGAGCGAATAGCACCAGCCAAGGAAAGAGCCAGGACCATGCAGGATCGGGTTCAGGAAAGAGTCAGCTGATAGGTGAAAGGGTGTAGTACCAAATGGGAATAAAAGTTTATACTCAGATCACAGACATCCTTGAATGGCATGCTAGTGAGTTTGGATTTTATCTTATTGGTAACGGAAAGTTATTTAAGGGATGTTCCAGATACTCAGAAGGCAGAGGTGGGAGGATGGCGGTCCAAGGCTAGCCCAGGCAAAAACCATGAGAGTCTATCTGAAAAATGATAAAACAAAAAGGGGTAGGGGATATGGCGAAAGTAGTAGAAAGCACCTGCTTCATAAGTGCGAGGAACTGGATTCAATCCTAGTACTGCCAAAAAAACCAAAAGACCACATGCCAGAATTAAGGGAAGCTGATATTAGAAAGAGGGGAAATCAAAAAAATATGGATTGCTGCTGAAATTTGATTCTGGTTGCTTGAGGACCTGACCCACAACAATGGGAATTTTCCATCATAAATATTTTAGATTAAACAGTGACACCATTTCAAATACCCTCAATCTTGGGGGCTGGTGGAGTGGCTCAAGTGGTAGAGCACCTGCCTAGTAAGTGCGAGGCCCTGAGTTCAAAACCCCAGTACTGCCAAAAAACCAAAAAAAAAAAAATCAAATACCCTCAATCTTGAGAAAGAAAACCATTCCAGATCTTTCGTACTGGTCTCACCTTAAGAGTCCAGTATTAGGCCTCATTAGCCACCAAACTGCACTGTCTACTCAAGTCAAACCTGTCTCCACAACAGCATTTCATGAACAAAATTCTTTTTGTACTGTTATTTTTATAGATTCGGTTCTTATGTCCCTTATGCATATGACAAGTGCTCTCTAAATACTTATTGCCTCAAGGAATGAATGAACAAATGAATGAGCCAAGCAGAGACCTCAAGCCTTTCCATATTCCCCAGTCATGCCCAAGTCTTCCCTTCTCCATGGCAACATTTTATAAACTCTGGGCCATAGCACTCACTTCCTGCCAGACTTAAATTGCACCCAGCTGTATAGTTTGCCACTAAATACCAGTCTTGCATTGTCTTCTAGTTGTTTTGAGCACACAAAACTTATTTTTGCAACTCAGCTTCATTCTCAGGCTGAGACGGACTGTGATTGAATAATACTTACATTCACTTCAGGGGTAGTGTGGGGTGGGCACTTAGAGGGTTTCAAGTTCTTTCTGAATGAAAGTGAATTCACTACTTGACAGCTATTCAAAGTCCTATGGTTCTAAGTACTCCAACCATAGCTCCGCCCACCCCTGCATCCCTGCCAAATTGTCTGCCTGTGCTGAGGATAATAATCCAGGCCCTGTGTCCACAGTCCCTCACCTTAGAAAAATAAAATAAAAAAAGCTTTCAAAAGCAAAGGGCAAAGAAACCTAACCTGTCTGTTGACTTTACCAGCACACAAAGCTGCTGTTCTCCTTCACCCGGCCCAGCATGCACCTGCCAGCCTAATTCACAGTTCAACTTTTTTGGTGAGTCTGGTACACAATTGCCAGTTCTGTTGTGATGCACTTCTGCCAGCACACATGTGTGAGCATATTAGAGTGCTCACGCACTCAGAGAGTTGGGGGAGCTGAGGCAAGGTGGAAACATTTTTCCTTGTCACATTCCAGCAGTCAGTGACTTCTCTTGAGGGGGCAGTGCACAATGAACACTCTGTGCTTCACTCGGGCCTCCACTCCAACCAAAGTTAACCCTTCCGTGGCTGCCTGCAGGGCTTGGGTGACAGGACTGGCCCCTGAAAAGCCTGCTTAGGAAATAACTGCTCAGCAGATCCCGAGAAAGCAGTAGAGTGAGGAAGAGGCTCTGAGTTCTTTGGCAGAACATTAGGACAGGAGTGTAGAAACTTGATCTCTACTCCTGGCTCTGCCTTTCCCAGGTAGTAGAGTTAAACAAGAGGCTCTGAGTTCCTTACTTCACACTTTCCTCAAAACAAATGAGGTGGGAAAAAGCTGTCTTCCATACTCAACACGCTATACCACTACCCCATTCAGCCACACACCCATGGGGACACTCCAAATTGAGTAGTTTGAATATGGCATTATGTCTCTAAGTAGACAGGGGAACTCTGCATGGCTAGATGTGCCTCATACCCAAGGGAGTCCCAAAGAGGACATCTCTCTTCCCTCCAAATCTGTAAGACGCAAGATTTTTTTCCTAGTCTAAAATATATGTTGCGTCTCCTCCTTGGGGAGTTCTTCCTTATCCTGAGGCCTGGTGGAAATGCAAACTCTCAAGCCCCACTTACTGAATCAGGGCTCCAGGGATGGGGCCAGCACTCAGCCTTTCCCCAAGTCCTCCAGGTGCTTCTGATCAGTTTGAGACTGAGAACTAGTGTCTAGACTTTCTGGTCCATGCAGTCCCCAACGCAGCGCCTTGGCAATGGAGCACTGTTATTCTGTATTTGAAAGTATTTTCCCCTTTCAGAGGTACTGTGAGTCTCTTGAGAACAGGCACCAGTTGTATTTGAGCCATTCAGACTGTCCCAATGCCTAGAAGAGCATCCAACACATAACAGACAGATGACTTCTGGGCTTCACGCTGCTTCTTCCAAGCCCTTGTAAGACCTCTGTCAGCCTCAGTGTCTCATCAGCAAAATGGAAAAAGTGATGCCTTCCTTGACCTCCCTCATTAGGTTAGAGCTTTCATTGGCAGATGAACTATATGATTATTTAAAATAAATTTTAAAAAACAACATACATACCTCAGAAGATCTAAAGGACAACAATCACAAATCCATGAAGAGTCCTCTTCCTCATTGCACCCCCCCAGCTCTATATGCTTAGCTGTTCCTCCACTCACTCTGTACTGTGAAAATTCCCATAGGACTAGACACTTTTTCCATCTTTATGTGCAAAAGACTCTGGGCTGACTATGTAATTCGCAGATCGGACTTTTTGCCTCAAATCTTTCTGGAATGTCTTCTAGCACTTAAGAGAATATGAGGTCTGGCTGGGGTTTCTCCTTGTAGGCATCTTGCTTTATTTCTTTTGTAATTGCAAACTTTCTTTCTTGGTATGCTAGAATTTTATTAATTGTGAAAATTAGTGTAGTATGGATATGTCTTCCCTTAATTTTCCTGGAACACAGAAGTCTTCTGGATCTGTAAGACGATGTAGGTTCTTTGTAGCTCAAGAATATTCGATTCTTCCTTTGGTTATTTCTTCCACTCAATGGTTCTGGCTTCTGTTTTTCTTTTAATCCACAGTTTAGAATTGTCTCTGCTCTGTTTCTATCATTTTTCTCTCACTGGTTTTCTTTTACATTATGGGAGAGCATATTCTAATCTGTCCTCCGTATCACCATTAATTTTATCTT